TTTTTTTTTCCAAAGTATTACGGTAAGTATATTAGCACAGAATTTCAAAATGAGCCCTCACTTGGAAAATCCAATTCCGGTCCACCGGCCGATGTTTTTGCTCGAAATCTCGAAGCGAACATCGTTGGCGGATTTATCGTAGGTCCAGGAAGCTACGTACTCACAGTCGTCACCAGTGCAATCTGCTGGATGACGGAAGGAGCTTTGGCAAGCTTCCTTGCTCCCTAAAGATAAGAAAAATCAAACTTTGCCTCTTTAACGAGGTGAAACGAATGTTTTTCGGAGCTAAAATTTGATCAGCAAAAGAAGGAATAACATATATTTGGTTTCCCAAATGATAAAGTCAGAAAAAATTTTTTGATGGTGAATGAAAGTAGTTTTGTACAACGTGATGAGCGTTGGAAAAGTGGAAAAACATAAGACCTCAGAAGAGCGCAGAAAAAGACTTACCTTCTTCCTTTCTTTCCTCCCGGCAGCTTTTTATACAAACTTCCTTATCAGACACTAAAAAGGTGTTAGAGCGGGCAATAATGTTGCCATTCTAAAAAGACGGTGCTTCAAAACATAATCCTACTATAGCTGCGAATAAACCAACCTCGTCAAGTTGTCCACCCGACACTGGGAACATCATTTTCCAACATTTTCCTACGAATGACTTGTCATTTTTATCACCCGTATTTCTCTTTCTAATAAACTGCGCTCGAAGAACACCGTTAGCATGTGTGCCGATCTATAAGAAGATAAACAAATGATTGCCATAACGATAGTTCGCAAATACTTCCGTACGAACCACATTTGGAGTGAATAGATTTTGTTGGTTATCGCTCGAGGCAGCACCTTGTGCGTCACTGGACATATCGTGAAGGCTGAGATTGCCATCGGAAGATTTGACGATCATCATGTCGGCGTCCACCTGAACGTTGACTTATGTAAGTGGAATCCTAGATAATTTGCCAACTTTTAGAAAGCCTTACTATCGCGCAGACTGCTGGTACTAGCTACATAACAGCAAGTAATAATGAATCACGCAGAATTAAATTTCTTCACTTGGTCAAATAATACGTTACTGAGAAAGTCGCTATTATGAACTGATCTAACAAACTTAATGTATTACAGAAATGCATATCAAAATGTCTATTTTCTGTAATGCTAAAATTGCGGCGCTATTGAGCATTGTCTCAAGCGTTATTGGTCACTTTATTGCTACTGTAAATTCCCCAATACAACAGAGTACTATAGCCCAGAATGGATGTTCAATCATTCTTATAATTGGACTTCATTTTAAATTCCTGGCCGCTCAAAATTTTACTCCCATCGTCTTTTTCACACGGTGCACCATGCAATAGT